CCAATAAATCCACCCAAACTACTCTAATCAACAAGATTAAAATATAAAATCAATCTTATTTCTAGAGACTAGCAATGGATGATCTTAAAAAACTGTATTCACAATAGCATAATAAGAGTAAAGTACCTGGAATTGAAGTTAATATCAGAAGGCCTTCTATACTGAAAATGACAAAAGGGTGTACATACGAAACTATCTAACATTGCTAAGAGAGCTTAAAGAAGATCCGCTAAATGGAGAATTGGTTGGTCACTGGTTGAGAAGATTCAATATTGTCAAGATGGGGATTTTCCCCAAACTGATGCCTACGTTCGATGTCTCCCTATCTAAACCCGGAAATTAGCAAAGCTGCTCCCAAAATCCAAATGGAAGCGCAGTAGCCAAAACTATCTGGGAAAGAAGAACATAACTGGAAAACTTCCATCAATCCGTTTCAAAACTTATGATAAAACATTAACAACAACAACAAAAAACAGTAGCCAAGACATTGCAGAATGGGCAAAGGCCTAGAGATATGAATGGAACAGGGGCCAAGAGGCTTCACTGGGAAAGAGAATCGTTTATTCAACAAAAGTGCTGGGACATTGTATAGCAATATGCCAAGAGAGAAAGAAAGAACTTAGGCCCTTACCTCACACTATACAAAAAATTTTAAATGGATCATAGACCCAAACGTCAGAGCTGTGTGTATAAAACTTTACTTAAGAAATTCAAGATGCAGAAGAAAACATAGGCTATCTTTTTGTGACTTTAGGTTGAACAAAGACTTCTTAAATACAAGAGCAAAAATGTGATCTACAAGAGAAAGAAAAAGAATAAATCGGCCTTTACCAAAATGGAAAATGCTTGCTCTTTAAAAAAAATCATTATGAAAACAAAAGGGTAATCCACAGACAGAGAAAGTATTTCCAAATGATAGAGGAGCTTAAAAACATTTGTGGAAAATATGAATAAAAGATCGTGGGATTCTCCCACATGAAAAAAAATCCCCTCACTTATATAATAAAGAACTTCTCCTCAGACAATGTAAAGAACACTTGCCACTCAGTGTTGTTGTTAGGTGCCGTGGAGTCGGTACCGACCCATAGCGACCTTTTCACAGTATAAGGCAACACTGCCTGGTCTCCACAATTGTTCCTGGGCTCGAGCCCATTGTGGCAGCCACTGGGTCGCGCCATCTTGTCGAGGGCTTCCTCTTTTTTGCTGCCCCTCTGCTTGACCAACCATGATGTCCTTCTCCTGGGACCGGTCTCCCAACCCAATAGGAAGAAAAATGCTAGTTTAGAAATGGGCAAGTAATTAGAATAGACATTTCGCCAAAGAAGAGATCTGAATGACTAATAAGCTCGTGAAAAGCTGTTTAACACCTGTAGTCATCAGGGAAATGCAAATCAAAACCACAACGACCTGGGTAGAACGACACATCCATGATGCCCGTTACTGTTGGGTGCGATGGAATCCGTGGACTCATAGCGACCCTAGACGCTGCAGAAGGAAACACGACTGGGCCCTGTCCTGTCCTCCCAATTATGGTTCTGTTTGAACCCGTGGTTTAACCACTGCGCCAACCTGTCTCGTTAAAGACCTTCCTCTTTTTCACTTCCTTAGTAGTGACCCTCTACTAAGCATGACACCCTTTTCTAGGGACTGATCCCTTGTCAGATAACCCCCCTTGCATGGCTAAGA